TGCTTAGTATAGTAATAATACTTTCTCGTCGTAGTTTGATTACTAATTCTTCGTCTACTTACTCCTTAATCGATAGGAATATTTATTAATAATCCGGGTTATCGTTAAATTCCTTTATAAAATAGGCGATTAGTAGTAGTCTCTTCTAAGGTCTGCCCGGGCGTCTTCTCGGTAGCTCCGGTGCCTCTTGCGGTTCGTCCGGTTTACTACCTCCGCTAGCGACGATAATTTCGTCGCGTACTACTTCCTACTACGGTATCTTAGCTTTAGGTTCTTCTTCTTCTAGCGCGGCGATAGAATTAGGTAGTTAATCAGGATCTTCGTAGTATAGTTTGACTATAGTAGACCGGAAGGTCTTTAGACTATATAGTATATCGATAGTATAGGTTTCGCTATTTATAGCTACTAAAGTAAACGGTCTAGTCTAGCCTTTCTTTTCGCGCTATACTTATACTTACGACCGTAGTAGTAAATTAATAATTAGCTTTATATCAAGGCTATTACGGGTAGCGATAGCTTCTACTACCTATCGCCTTACGTAAAGTTTACATACTTTGCTTATCGCCTTCTTAATCGCTTTCGCCTGCCTTATAACTTCGGGAGATAGTAGCAAATCGTCGGTAATTCGTAGGTATAAGCTAAATACTAAGAGTATTAATACTATTCCGTTTAAGCTAGCAGTATCGTTAACTATTTTAACTACTATTTAAAATACTAATTCTAGCGTAATTATTAAGTCTTCTACTTTAATAATTTCGTACGCCTTCCTTAAAAGTATATAGTATCGTTTAACTTTCTTAATACTATTATAGGCTTTTATAGGAATTTCCTTAATTTTAATTATTATTCCTTTCGCTACGTTTCGGAATTCCATTAAGCAGAAGTTTGTTTTAGCGTTAGTAACTAGCTAGTCTAGGGGTCCCTGATATATATCTATCTAGCAGAGGCGTAAGGCTTCCTAAGTAGCTTTCGTAGAAATGTCCTTAAGGAACCGGGTAGCGTTAAACGCCGTAGCGGTATCGACGACGTAGAGGACCGGTCTATTACCTTCAAGGTATATTACGTCGGCGATAACCTTATAGTTAAATTCGTAATCGTCTTATAACGTAAATTTAAACCATAATAGCGCTAGTATATATATTTAGTATCGATAGTAGACTTTCGATAGTTGCTTAATTACTATAATTTCAACTAGGTAGCTAGCCTTCTAGAGTACCTTATATAATCGTTAAATAGATAGGTATCCGAAGCGACGGTAAACCCGTCGCAATTTAGCGTCTATAAGGTAGTTCTAGGCAAGTAGTTTCTCCTTATTAAGTAATAACCATAGGTAGCCCTATTTGCGAATAATAGGTACGACCTTGTTTCCTTAGATAAGGGTATTCGTAACGTTATTAAAGTAGACCTTTAATTAGTCTATATCTCCTAGGCATATAAGGAAGGGAGTATTAGTCTTAATAACGTAAAATTTAACGCTTCCAAACAGCGTTAGCATTTTAGTAGTCCCTATAGACTCTAGTAGTATCCTATCGCCGAATTTTACTATAACGCCGCTAGCCGCCTTAGTATTTAACGTAATTCCTTCGTAAATTTGTTATAAGGCTACGAATTATAGGTAGCTAGCGGTTGAGAATCCTGCTATGCCCGAGTCGGGCATGATCCCTTGGAAGTTCTAGGCAGAGTAGCGTCCCTCGAGTATGAATTGCGAAGGTAGCTCTTTCGGTTCTAGTTAGTTACGGAAGAGGTCTTCTTTCGTAATAGCATAGCGGGTTAACTAGTCTGCTAGGATCGTAGCGATCCTGTTGCCGTTAATTGCTATTATAGTAAAATAGGCGGTAACCTAGAATTGACTATCGCTACTAGTCTCTTCCTCTTCGTTACTTTTACTAGTTTGTTCGGTTACGTAGTAGTATTGCTAAGGGTCTTCGGCGGTAGGTTGTAAGTCTAACCCGTCGAAACCCTTGTATTAGACGAGAAATTAGCTATATACTAGAAGTAACGTATCCTAGGCATATTAGGTAGTTTTAAACTTCTCGTACGCTTTTCGTCTCTCTTCTATAGTATGTTTAGTTAACTAGTAGTTAGGTTTTCTATATACGTAGTACTTCTTAGGCGTTAGCAGTAATAAGGGTCTGTTACGGCTTCTTCCTCGTAATAATCGACTTCGTAATAAACGACTATATCGTAAATAACGCCTTCGACCGTTAAAAGTTCTATCGGTCTAGTACTGCTTTAGTAGGTTAGCTACTATATTAAATTGTTATTAGTTAAGACGGGTAGCTATCTCGATCGACGAGATTAATTAGCTACGAAGTCCCTCGTACGTCTCAGCCGGTATAAATAACGCTATTACATACTCTAGAATATCTCTATAAGCGTATAGAAGTTAGGTATAGAGGGATCGGTCGTTATAATCTTGTTATAGCAAACCAGGCTAAATCTTGCTTAATTTGTTATATAGTATGTTAAAATACTCCGATTTAGTCTTTCTAAGGTTATCGCAAATGATTTAGGGAAGAGTAGTTATATTCTACTACGTAACGTACGCTTATTGCCTTTCCCTAGTCTCGAAGTATGATTTTAATTAGTTAATCATAGTCTCGAAGTTAGGCTATAGGTTGATTACTTTAATCGAGGCGTAGAAGTAGGTTTTAGCTATTCCTTTTAGTATTAGGGGAAGTGCCTTGTTATATTAGGAGGTATAAATTCCTAGCATTCTATAGTAATCTACGAATACTAGCATCTTCTTTTCGAGTATATCGTATATATCGCCGCTATATTTTATATCGTCAGGGTATAGTTTCGCGAATTCTGTTAATTGCTTTCCGATACGGTTTATTAACTTATATAGTTAGAAGTCTGTTAATAGAGAGACCGTAGGATATAGCGGTCGGTACGGTAGTTGCTACTATTATTATTCTTGTAGAGGAGGTAGCTATAGGGTTAGTTCGACTCTTCCTCCTATGCTGTTAGCTACTATTGCCGGTCTCGTGATCTCTTCGTGGAATTCGGGGTCTTTTATCAAAGCCTTTAGGTTGCGATATCTCTTAACGCCTTGTTCGAGTTCTTAGGGTAACTAGTAGTAGAATTCTTCCTTTTTAAAGGCTAATGCTACGTTTTTCGAGATTTTCTTACTATCTATTTCGACGTAGACGCCGTTACTAATTAAATAGTCTTTAAAGAATCGTAGGATTAGGGGAGGTACGTTCTAGAAGTCTTCTTCTAACTAGTCGGCGAAATCGGGAGAAACTTCGTTCTATAGCTCGAGGCTTGTAAGATTCCTCTTCTTATAGGTCTTAAGTAGGAAACCTATATAGGAACCTAGTTGCTATAGGCTAGCGTTTATAAGGTCGATTGCCTAGTTGCCTTATACTGCTAGATCGATTATACTTTCGATTCTCTATAAGATAGGGATTATTAATTAGCTTTTAGTAGTAACGCTGCTTGCGGGCGATCCTTCTCGTAAATTTCGCTCTATTCTGATAGTATAAAAGGATTACTTCTGTTTAGAATCTTGAATTAGGTCTTGAATTAGTAGGGAGAGAGTTCTACCGTAGATTCTCTCGTAAATCTCTCTTTCTTACTTCAGGCTTCGCTCCTTACTATTAGGAAGTTTAGAATCTAGCGGATAGTTAGCTTTATAACGCCTATAACTACGTGCGTTTCTCCTAAGCCGTAGCCTCGGAGGCGTATACGTATAGCTATATAGGCGGATTACTACCGGTAGTCTCTGCTTGCCTTTCGGCGTATTCTTCTTCTAGTAGGGAGGTCTCTTATAGCAAGCGCCTCGCGGTTAGTACCTCGTCTAGGGATTTATTAAGAAACTAGTAAGCGCCTCGTGATTAGCACCGCGCGTAGGGGATAGTTATAGTTAGGGAAGTTATTATCCCTTATAGGATTTGTAAATCTTCGCCTTTATAGCGTGAAGAGGTTAGAAGACCGTCGATTCGGTAGGTTTCTTCTTCTAGTAATTGAAAACGCGTGATAGAACGCTCTTGCTAGCGATAATTAGCTGCGATTAACCTTATCCCGCCTAGGGTAAGCGTAGCAGTCCCTAGGTTACTCGAATAATCGGATTGCTAGTAGATTCGAGGAAAAGAAGCTTTCTTCTACTAGTTTCCATAGATCCTAGTTACTCTCGCTTCTTCTCTCGTTAGCACGAAATCCCTACTTTTACCTAGGCTTAGGTATCTAGTTTAAGAAGTCGTCTCTTCTAGTATTAACCTTACTAATCTACGGTTTATCCGTAGTAGAGTAGTAATTATAAAGTTAACTAAATTAATAGCAACTATAAGGTTTACTACTAATTAGTATAGGTTTCACAAGGGGTAAAACGGAATTCCGTTCGTTAATAACAAATAATAGTAAATTAGTTCTAATCGATAGTTTATGATAGTTGAAAGTGGTGTTGTTGACTAGAAGGTGGGGATATTCCCCCTTGGCCTGTCACGTGGGTCTGGGAGGCTTGGGCCTCTCAGCCTGGCGGGCGTGTGGCTGGAAGTGCCACACGACTCCGTATTCCAACTATCGCAACATCTATTGATACTGGCTATTTCTATACTGATTAAACTGTGATAACAGAGCCACATTTTCTTTTAGAAAAAGGTAGTCTTTACAAGAAAGTTAAAGAGGTCCCACCATTGTTTGAACTATAACTCTAGATTGAATAAAAGGATTGGCACAAAATGAATGATTCGCATATAGCTTATCCCCACTATGCAGAAGTAAATAAATACCCTTTGACTCTTAACTACAATGTAAAACTCTGATAAACGTCTCACATTGTAATGATGGTTTAGAGATTCATGTCGAAAATAGCGGACCATAAGTTGGTAGCGATAGAAAATGTGCTAAATACATCCTAAGATAGCTTCAACCAGAACTGGCATGGCAAATAACTATATACATATGAAAAACAAAAAGCGAAGCGACCGATGGGATACATCAGGAGCAGTGTGTTGCTTTTGCACACCACATCTACTCCCTTCTGCCCTTGAGCACTAAGCAGTTGCACCCGACAAAGTGAACGAGTAGTCCACGCCTGTGTTGACATCGGACCCAAGAGAAAAGGGGTCGAAAAGAATAAGGTTGGCCGGCGTGTTAGCAACGACGAGGCTGGCTTCTTCTCCCCCAGCAACACTCACGCTACCTTGGCCGTTGCTAAGCTCAACATATCTGACCGCACCGCTGCCTGTGTTTCTGACGACCAAGTGAGAGGTAAGCTGGCCGCTCGTGGTGATTCTGACAGTCACCGTGCCGGACGGGTTCTTGAGGGGGATGATGTTTGCGCCCATGTAGCGCGGCCTGCGTGCAGACTTTACGCGGTAGGTACCACTGCCGGCCGAGTCGACGTTGGCGTAGTTGATCCGGCTCCTCTGGTTCAGGAATACGGTCCGCGCCTGGGTGTGCCCAATGTCGAGGTATGCCATGCGAGCCCAGTATTTCCCAACGATCCTTGCAACGGTCGCGCCAGTGGATACACGTTGCAGAGTGTGAAGGGGAGTCTCATTGGAGTTGGCGCTGTATCGGACCATGAGCTGGCGCAACACATCGCGCCCGAGACCGGCAAAGTTGTCCGGGTTGTTGGTGATGTAGGTGAAGAACGGCCATGCCTGGTAGTAGTTTCCAGACCCAGCACTTCCATCTACAATGACTTGGAAAGAGTCACCAATTGTCTTGATGACATCAATCTCGCTGGTCTGAGGAGTTGCCTGCCCATACTGGCTCCGGGCGTTTGCGCACAATGGCGAAGTCAAGAACGTGTCGGAAACCCAGTTCGCCAGCGTCTCCCACCAGGCGCCTGTTCGGCCTTGGTTGACCCAGGTCTTTTGGTGATAGTGGAGGCCATGTCCGAACTCGTGAATTGTGACAGGAGTGACGAGGTACGGGTTTGCAACCTCCAGCCATGCCATGCCGGTGGCGAAATCAGAGTGCATAACACCGGCAGCACCGGGGAGGTTTGCAACACTGTAGATGTTGACCTTGACCCAAGGTCCATCATTGTCATTGTTGTCGTTGTAGGAAAGCCCGGTGGACCGCCAGCCGAGGGTGTCAACAAAGCAGGAGTAAACACCCTCCAGCATCGACAAGGCGCGGTCTGCGGCCCCTAGATCGGAGGCATAGACACGGAAATGAGCAGAGTCTCTATATGAGGAACCGCCAGGTCCGATGTTGGGATTTGCTGTAAAAGATGCCGGAGGGGCGCGAGCAACAAGAGTGCGGGTTGCGCGGTCTGTGATGATTAAGCTGGGGTTATCGGACGTGTTAATGTCAACACCTTTACAGACTGGTTGGGCCTGGGCCGGGTAGGCATGGGCTCCCTGCAGGAGGGCGATGGCTACAGTAAGAGCAGCGAACTTGGTCATGGTGGCAAGCAATATTTACCCAATAATTTTGACCGTTTGAGGTAAGAAAAGATAATGTCAATGGTGTCCAGACATGGATCATGGTAAAGTGAGAGAAGAATTGCCGCCTTATATGGTGACCGGTCACTACATGCTTGAATGCCCGCCGTTTCGTCTTAACCATTTATTTGGAGCACTTCTTGCTGTTTAACTGCTCTTGGCGACAATCAAAAGATGCCAATCGTTGATCAGACACTCAACGACTTTCCACAAGACAACTCACAATTTGCTCGGTGGCTCGTCTTGAAAGGATTGCTGACCCCAGTTCGATTACAACTTCGCTTAGATTAGAATTACTGGTGGAATTCTTTTGAACATAGGGGAATTAACACCCCTCACCATTATTTCAAGTATGTTAATGGGTGTAGGCCAGGGTGTTGGTGGCTGTCAGCTCTCCCGTTGAAATCCTACCGTCACCCGATCAGGCCAATCCTCATGACCGCAGCATCACATTGCAATTTGCTCGTCTGTCTTCGCGAGGTCATCATTAAGTCTAATTCAAGATTGTGCGAGCCTCATGCATTGTTTGGACGCCAGTTCCGTGGGCTGTTATCCGAATGAAACGAAGGAAGGCATGAATCCGGTTTGCCAAAGATGGATTAACTAAATGAAGGATCGGTCGGAAAGTTCCAAGCTTTGGCCATGAGCGTCTTGATCGGATACGACGGTTTCTGTGACATGGCGTGGTCGTCGTTGTGGCCGTCGCTTACCATCTTCGTTAACCCGGCTTCATTGTTAACATCAAACCAACCAACAGGACATGTAGGTCTGGATTTAACCTATATTAAGGTTCAAATACAGCAATTGTAGTTTAATTCAATGTGGACTGGTGGTTACGTAACTAAATGTGACTACGATGCTGAGCGGTCTGGTGAAGAAGAATAACATGCAGTCCTTGGGTCCATGGTAAGAGATACTATGGAGTCGTTGGAAGCCGACCCAACACATCGGTTTGATCACTTGACTGCCGTTGACTGAAACATGAAAATGGGTAAAGCCAAGAGAATTAACTAACTAGAGAATGCTTGCACAAGGCAAATTACCGCAAATGTCATATAAAGGAAAGTAACATCCAATTTAGGTGGCGCAACAGTGCTATTCCTTCGCTGTTGTGCGCTTGAAAATGGCGATTGTTGATGACTTGCGCACCAATCAGGCTAACAATTCAGTCAAAAAAACAACTGCAATTTTTCTAGTTGCGGTATGGTCTCGGCAATTCGAAATGTCACCTTCCTTCTTTGCAACGACTTAAACTCTTGGCAAACCCCTTCATACATCCAAAGAAGAACGCACCATGAATCTCCGTGAAAGTGGACCGGGACTCAACCCGAGCTTGCAGGTATCACCCGGTAATTGTCCCCGGTATCTCGAAGGTGATATTGCAGGTTTTCTTTACATTCATATGGTGTACGTAAAAGCCCTTTCCCTGACTCGCAAGGTAAGAGTCCGCTGCTTTTAAGCTTAATACGGATGGTCTAAAGCAAAGAATTCAGTCCTGCGAATTTGAAATCTCTTGGGAAGGCTTGATACCTAGGGATTCCCACTATCCTGGACTGCAAAACTATGTGGAGGACGGAATCACCGGCCTCTGCTGGAAGAGATGATGGGGGTATTCTTGTTGATTTGAAACGTGATACAGGCGAAAACTAGTAGATTCCTAGGGCAGAAGCCATGCATCTTGTGCCTCGTTCTCAGGATCAGTGATTAATCAAGCTTTGGATCTATGAAGTACTCGTGTTGAAGCCAACAAGCAGCTTTACGACTAGCTATTACGACGGTGATACAACGAACGCACATATAGATATAATGAATTTGTAGCACTATGAGATGTGCCGGAAATTAAGCATACTCACAACGAAACAGATGACTGCGCTCAGACGACGACGTTACATGGACTTTTGGTACAAAGTTCAAGGGAAATAAACGTAGGATACCAAGAACGCTAACCTCTAGCAGTGTCAAC